ACCCACCTCTTTCCATTTTTTGGAAATGGTCCCTTATATACACTTACTTCTATATATGACATGAATAACCAATCAAAAGCTCAAGAATGTCCCCCCTAGTGGTTTTCTCAGCCATTTTGATGTGTTATTGTGCTAATTTCATTCTTTTCACACAAGTGAGCTCAAAATTTCATATTTTTTAGAACCAAATACAGCTTAGTTACTACGCTTGATAAATTATAGTGGAACTCTATGGTATCAATGTAGTAATTTATGATATTTTGGGTTAATCGAAATGTATATGTAAAACCTAAAAAAAAATATTTATTTTTACATCCTCCATGTGGGAAATTTTATATAGCTTAGCAACCTACGAGAAGTGGCAAACGAGTACAAAGGTCATAACTAGAAGAGATAATTGTTTGCTTTACTTTATTTACTCTTCTATGTTTTAAGAAAAATAAGTTTAAGAGCTTATTTGTAAATAGAAATAATGTATATACATATATAATGTATAATAGTTGAAATGTGACTGTATTTGTAACTTCTCTATTGTTAGCCAAGCACGGTTGAAAGGTCAATATAATAAAAATAATAAATATTTCTAAATGTATAACATTACGAGATTTAAGCTAGTTAGACTAAAATTTGTGTTTTAGTGTTATAATCTACAGTAATTCTAGAATGAAAAAAGCATAATTTATATTTCTTCCTTAATTTTTATTGAGGTTGCGAAGTTGGTCATATCGAACCAACCTATACAGAAATACACTAGTGAAAATAACAAATATAGTTTTTTTAAACAAAAAATTTGATAATTATCTGGAGATTATAAAGATTTTGCATATGAAATTTGAAAATGCTTTAATGCATTAAAGTATTTTTAATCTTAAAATCAAAATTGCTTTGCATGTTGAATAGTCAACATTCTGAAAGAAAAAGTTTACGAAGAAAATCTTTAATTAAAAAATCTTAATACTTAATTTAAAAACCTGATATTTTGCATACGAAACTTCTAATGTTTACCAATAACCTGCAAAATTTTGTAAAGATGTGCTTACATTATAAAAAATGATAGTATAATTACTCTCATATATACTTTTGTGATTATGAGCTGGGTGGATTCCACCCAGCCCGTAATGGAAGGGTTAATCATGGTTAAGAGGGCTGTCCAAAGTTTACTAAAACATGATAAAGGTATCAACAGCATGGAGGAACATACCATCCACATGACAGTGCCTATGTGGAGAATATGAATCAGAATACAGTTATGATGTGCTCCATCTCACAACAATTTTCATACATGGTCTCAATAAACCACCAGAAGGGATACACTGTGAAGTTGCACTAGTACTGCCAAAACAGTAAGGTAACAAATGTAAATTCTAGCAGTAATAAATTACTCTGTTCATGACAAAATCAAAGATAAATCAGTAAAAAAAGCCATAAGCAATACAATATCAGTTGATTGAGATTCTCAAAAAGAAATAAAAAGCCATAATATTGCATCAGAGATTTATACTGCTAAGCCATCAGGGTAGAGTCAATCAGAAAGATAAAAGTTAACATTTTCCTATACTGAAAATGTATTTCCAATAATACTTACCACTGTTCACACTATAGCTTTATGCTATATAGAAAAGAGGTGTATGAAAATTAAATATAGTAATATCACACTAGTGGGGTCTACAGTACTTCTAGAACTGGTATGCTCTTTGCTCAGACAATGAGAAATCTAATTCTTGGGCAGTAAAAGCAGACTGGCCACACAGCCAAAACCCTAACATTATTAGAATAAAGCATGAATTGATGCAATATTGTTCCTAACTCAAGGGACTTGTCCAGGCCCCAACCAGGCAGACAAGGTCCACATCTAGTCATTGGAATTATAGGGCTGTGGACCCAAAGCTAGTTCCAAAGTGCAGTGGTTAGGGCATGAGCATCGCTTTTTATGTGTTCTTGTTTTGTAATAGGGTATTATTGAAACTCAACCTGAAAGTTACAGAATGTTGCATGTCGAGCAAGTGGAATTATGAAGAAAAGGCAAGCAACACAAAAGTGGACAAACCCTTGCCCCAACCTGAAGATGCTCAAAATGCAACAAGTCAAACTCGGAATTACAGGACCTTTCACGTAGTTAAGTTGAGCATGCCCCTTCATTTTGAGGATCATGGAAGAGGGTCCTCTACTCCTCGTAAGTCTGCATACAGAGTGTCAATTTCTGTGCCATTGGTTGGACTTAACTTGTTCCACATCCTCCTTGTAATTCCAAGGACAGGAAGTCTTGCCTTGCCTCTTAGACTAGAGAGTTAAGTTTTCTGTTTGTGATACCAGGCCGGGTAATCTTTGTTTCTTTAGGTTGAGTGAAAGATAATGAAGGGTTGTTTCTGAAATAGAATTACGAGGAGGCTTCCATTTAGATTGGTCCTGCTTCCACTATACATATGGGAAAACCATCCAGGGTTATTGGTAGAAGGGCACACAGCTTCACCCTCTTATCGTTAAGTGGAATAATGAGTTTAAGCATCACTCATGAGGAATACTTTTGTCCACCACTCCAGTGACTGGAAATTGGGAATGGTAAAGACTCCCACACTCCACTAGCAGAAATGGAGGGGGGGGAGAGATACTTTTGTTGACCCCAATTTATCCAATCCAGGGGTCAGCAGGGATGGAAAACATTCCCTTAAGTTTTACTCATGATAGTCAATGAGTGGTGATCCAGTAGTATACATAATTGTTTACCACCCAGAAAGTGTACAAGGTGGTATTATGGAACACACTATCTCAACAGAGCTCATTAGTACCAAATTATTTTTTAAATCAGTTGACTGGTAGCTAGTGCAGATTTGGAAAAAAACATACCTGACCAGGTAATACCCACCACTGAGTGGTATCAAAATGAAAATGACGAGAGGGTTCCTGAAAAATAATAGAAATAAATACAAAAGAAATGAAATCACTTACTTTTCTTACAATTTAGCCAGGGCATGGAGAATAGCCACAGAGGGCGAGGGGGATTCATTTAAATAATGAGATATAAATGTATTAGGCATGGTCTACATACCAGCCTGTACAATCTCCACCAGTGGGTGACATAACTGAGCCACCAGGAACATAGAAACATGGCAAACTTGCCAAGACGAGGTCCAAAGAAGTTTCCACTCCTCCAATGAAAACTCAGAGTAAGCAATATGAACCAACTGATGAACCCAACCTGTCAAAGAGACCAGGGATAAGTCACATGACACCTTAGGATCCCAGTGAAGAAACAAACATTGAGATGAACCATGAAACCCTTTAGTGAGCACAACATAACATCGGAGAGCTATAGTGTGAGAAGAGGTAGGTCTGTTTCGGAATGTAAGCTTTACATAAAAAGAATCTTGTTCTTTGAGTAGAGGACCTGAAAAATGCCAGCAATAAAGCTAGAGATGAGCTACATGTCAAGTTAATGTGTGGGGTTGATATAACATACAATGCCAAATAAGAAGGACATCTGCTAACTAAAGGCAAGCTTACAAATTACCCTCAAAGGCAACAAATCTGAAACTAATGAAAAAATAAGAAGTGGTAAAATCATTCATCATCAGGTAACCCAGGCAGTAATACATGTATTGGAATATCTGTTACTAGAGACCACTCTACTGGACAGACTTGCCAAGGATGATGCAAGTGACCATCCAAGTGAAGAAAAGCCAGAAACAAAGTGAAATAAACCACGTAAAAAACCATAAGCAATACCACATCACAAAAAGAAAAAAAAAAAAATATCACCCAGCAAAAGGAGAGGAAGAAAAAGTCATAATATTGCATTAAAGACCACTCCAATGGACAGACTTGCCAAAGATAAGTGAGCATCCAGGAAATCCACAGTCTCAAAAATGTAAAATTTATTTCAGGATTACACTACTTGCAGGTTTAGTTTTGACAAGAGAATGTAGTTGCTGATTTGAATTCCTCAAGGATATTCTACAAAGAAGTCTAAATTAAAAAGAAACAGGCTGATCTTCTTTCCATGGGTCTGGGTACTCTGAAAGTGTCAAAGGTTTGTAAATAGAAAAGACTGTCATAGGTCTTGCCTTCTTCTGAGAAAAACTTTAGCTTACAGCTTCTATACCACTAGTAAAATAACCATGAACTCATGAAAAGTAGCAAGTCAAATGAAATAAGAATCTCTTAGTGTTCAAGTCAGAAGGTAGATAAGTCAATAGTGAGTAATAATGCTTAACCCTCTGAATATTGCAAATCTTTTGTATACAAAATAAATCAGGTTTTAATTATTTTTACTACAGACTTATGTGTAAAGTTATGGAGTTAGAGTCTTAACTCAGACTAGTCTTAGTGCAAGGTGATTTTTCATGTTAAGATTGAAAATACTTTTCCAATATTACAGTTTTCAAGCTTCATTTGCAATAACCTTTTGTTTCAGTAAAACTTTATATTTTATCTGTTATTTTATTTACCCTAACACAATATAGGCTTGGTTTATTTGACCAACCTTGTAACTATCAAACAAATACACAAAATAAATCTAAAATTATCCTTTTTTTTTCTTATTAGAATGACTGCAGATTGTAAGAGAAAATTACAATTATTTATCCTAAACATCCACAGATTTGTAACAGTTTATGCATTTTCATTTAATTTATTGTTTTCTTGAAGTGTCTAAACCTGGGTAATAAAGCTGTAAACCATGTGGAAAGCACAAAGCTCAGGTTATGGTAAACAAAGTATTGAATTACATAATGCAGGAGCAGCTCACATACTTACCTTTCTGAGAGATTCTATTTTTTATTTTTTTTTTTATATATTTACGTTTTCTTATCTAACCTAACAAGTTTCTAGTTTTTACCTTTTAGTTAACTTTATAAATAACAATAAATAAAACTTGTACACAAAAACAAGAAATTAATACTTATATGTGGGTCTTGTATTTTTTTACAGTCAAAGTCTCAATAGAAGTTAACCCTACTTTTTGGCAGGATTGATTTGAATAATTTATGAGATAATTTATTTCAAATATGCCATTTGGAACACAAAATAGTAACCTGCACAAATAATACAGTGTCCTATAATTATTATAATTTAACTGGCTTTCTAACTAAACTATAAATGAATTCAAATAATTCCCTTACCTGGTCTAGGTGACCCTGGTGATAGCAACAATGAGTCTGTAGGCTGAATAACTCAAAACCATTGTGAGAACGAGTTAGCTTTACATATAAATCAGTAAATTAAAATCTTCTCTTTCTACTGGTTATAAATAATTGAAGAGCAAATGTCAGAGGCCATTTTTTACATTTCCTGAAAGGCAGATGGATAGGAGTGTAGGGCAAATGGTTTGACTTTATGTTTTGTATTTCCAAAAAGCAAATCAATTAGAGACTGTAAATATATATACAGTGCTAGCATTATCTAAAATATAATTGTACTGTTACGACAGTGGAAGTCACGTGACGATGGGAGCATGCACGGTAGAGTTTCTCAAAGGATCATGAATTATCGAGGAACCCCGTGAATGTCTGAGTGTTTGCCAGGCACCCTCTTTTTTAGTATATAAGCTCGGCAAATAAAGCCAGCGATAGATAGATATGCAGGTAGATTAAAGAGATAGATAACCGAGTCAAGCAAACAGCAGAAACCATAAGTAAAGTGTGTGAATCACTGATTTATAGCGTGTGTTATAAAAGTAGTTAAGTTTAACGTAATGATTGGAAATTCTGTGTATTATAAAAAGTTGTATCAAGAAAGAATAAACTAGTTTTAATTAAGAAAGCATTTGTATCACTGAAGTTCCTTGGAAAAATTTATACTGAAAATTAACAAACGAGCACATACACAAACAGTATAATCTATGTTAAAGTAAGTACATCTTATAGGAGTAGTAAAAATATCTAAAATGGGCAATTCGGAGCAAATATGAATCATCTGATACACAGAAGTGAAGATTGAGAATATATTTAAATATTTCATTTTGAAATTAAGACTTATATAATATTAAAATTCATTGCCATATAATGATAAAGTAGTTTAATTAAATTTAATTAAAAAGGTCATGACATGAGCACTTTGATCTACCCACATCCAGAGGGTTAATGATGATATCTACCGAAAAAAAAGAAGCAACATGGGATTCTAGAAAAACTAGAACAATATCAAAAACAAACCCTAGAAACAAGGGCAGACTACATTTTCCATAAGAAAAACTGGGGAAGCTAAACAAGACAGAAGTCTGAAACAAAAAATAAAATTAAAAAAAAATCTCAAACACTAGTTGCTGATGATGTTCAGAAGAACAATTTTCAGAAAAAGATTAATTATAAATTAGCTTAGCATATACAGGAAATGAGACACAAAAGACATCATCATGGCAAGTTTTTCAATTTCCAGAATTTTTAAACACAGAAAAAGAAAAGAGACAAGTGATCATATGTGAAATGAAAAGTTTGATAGAGCATCTAGAAAAAAATATATAAAATGATTAAAACTAAAAAATCCAAAAGATAAAAAAGGGCCACAGTTAAAGCAGAGTGAGTCAACTGCCTAGCATGAAAAATTAAACGAAGTTAAAAAAAATTAATTACAAATGCAATAAAATATAAGCAATAAAAACATTTATATGTTAATCATATGAAACAAAGACAAAAACACACCAAGACCATTAGAAGAGCAAAATTTGGCAGAGTGGCCGATAAGGTTAAAGGTGACCTCTGTAGCTATTACCAAGAGTAGTCTTAATGCATTACGTGGGTATATTTCAAGGTTACTAAAAATGTGTAAAGAAACGTGTAGACATATTGTGGTCAGTGACTGATGCATAGATTATGCTGTATCTAGACATATAGTTCTGTGTGTGTGAAAATAATGCTGTTGAATGACTGTACTGCAACTCTAACAAAATATCAAATTATTAAAGACAAAATTCACCATCAACATTAATTTTGGCATTCATACAGTACAATTCATCCTATGATAAACAAAAATATCAGCACAGATAAGCTTTAAAAGTGTTTATTCAGCACAACAATTTATTGAAATGTTATTTTTTCAACTATATTTAATGAAGAGCATTCATAATATAAATTACAGTAAATATAAAATATTTTTTGCAAAATTTATACTATGCATAGCATAAGAATTTATTATTTAAAACCTTTTCAGAATAAGCAATATATTCAAAATTGGCTTGAACTAGTCTTGCACTTAGATGGTAAGGTTTCCAATCCAGTATCTTGCAAATTTGAAATAAGACTTACAGCTATGACTGAGTAGAAACAATGAAACTCACCTTTGAGCTTGATTCTCTAGGAAGAAGTGTTTCAAAAATACTCCTGTTCCGACTATGAGCATCTATGTCCACATATACAACAGACCAAGAAGCACCTTTGTCACCAAACAGATTACAGCCATTAACAGCTTCCAGAGCTGATTTTGCTGTACCTATTGAACTAAGAAATTTGTTCATTTAACTTTTCCAAAGTTCAAAGTGAAACTGTAACTTCATAATCATTTAAGATTCTAAATTAATCCATGTATAAATCACTATTTACTCAAATTCAAAATACTTGAAGTTATGGTCCAATTGAAAATGTGATTGGTTTAGACAAGATATTAAGTAATTAGATATGTATAGGTCCCTTGTCAGTTGATTTACATTGATACTGCCTCTATCCATGGGTCATTCTTTTGAACAGTCAGCAAGATAGTGCTTTGTAAATGCTTCTTAGGGTTTTGAAATACATAATGACCCAAAGGTGTTATATGGGATTTAGATCAGGAATTATTGCTGACCAGTCCATAGTTTTAGTGTTTGAGGAAATCAACACAACTGTGGCAGTATAACACCACATGTTATCTCACTTCAAGACAAGTACTAGTCTAATTACACATATGGATGATTATATGGCTAGATCCAATCCTATGTTAATAATTTTCCAAGCAGTATATATACCCTCCACAGCACACACACAATCTGTGGCTTCTCACACTGATGCATTCAATACCATAACGTATTCACCAATAAAATGTTCATACTTAATGATACTGCACTCAGAAAAGTCTGTCTTTTTAGCCTCAACATTCCTTTTTATGCCTTTAAAGATGAGAGGGTTCCAGTAGTATTGCTGCCACTCTGCAGAACTGAAAAACGTCCAAACAACCCACACAGTCAACGTAAAGCTGGAGCATCTTAAGACAGACTTACAAAGTTTGTTCTTTGTCAGTTGTTCCCTTGAAGTTCAAACAAGTTCATGGACAGTGGACTAGCAGTTCCTAAACGAGTTTCTACTTTTAATCATATGCATATTTCATATTGTCTTGTTGTGAGGTAGGATATATATACTTTTGAATCTTTTTACACATTACTCTGCTACCATGAAGGACAGAACTATCCTTTTGTTTGGCTGTTGTTTCTGTATAATTGTTTGGCAGTGTTACTTGCTTGTGATGGTTGGAAGCACAGGTTTTTTGGAACTGTTCAAATGTTGGAAACTGGACAAACAGAAGCTATCATATTAATTAATGTATTTTTTTTATTCACATGGAAATTTCAAAGCCATTATTTACTCTTTAAATTTTTGCATAGTATAATATGATCTTAACAGCTGAGGTAACATCCACATTCCCTCAGTCTAAATACCATAAGTTTACACCAGAACTAGTTCATAATTAAATGTGTAGAACAAAACATAACAAATCCTTGCATTCTACTGTTAATCACTAAGAACAACTAAGTAATACAAAATAGCACTATGCATCACAAACTTGGGCAAAACAAACATTTCTCCTAAAATGATCTGGGTTCTTATCCAAATTCTAAAGTTAATGTCCGAAATAAGGAAAAAAAAACAAACTTTATTCTGGTTTCTGACAAAAATAAAAGTAACAAAGAGAAACATTAATTAGGAATTCTATATGTATATTGCAATTTTTACTGTTGGATTTATTATACATAAACATTAATATTAACTTTGCAATCTCTAATTCATAAAAAAAAATTAAGCAACAAAGTTTAAAATTTTCTAGATTTGAGAGGTTGGTTTCAGAGCTATATAATATAGTAGAGAACACAGTTATTTTGACTTAGCAATGTTTTTATAGATACAATTACATCAGCATTTACCTACTACCTCATATTAAAAGCTAACTACCATTAGATGGGCAGGGGTTGGGTGGTTATATTTTTAACAATTTGAATATACCAAAAGGCAAATATGGATCATAAAAAGTAATCAAACAAGCTGGAGATACAGTAGACATTATTTAATCAAATGTTAATATTTTCCTCTACCGAAAATGTATTTCTGATAACACTTACCTCCTC